TTGTTTCCATTTGAAGAGGGATTGAGTTTGATCTCTAGAGCATGGATTGTATTTCAGAAAAGGTCTGGGTTGAGTGGTGAATGGCATTTGGTATTACATGTGTTGTTTATCCAATGAGTATTTCTGTCCTGAGGGAAGTTTGCTTTTATGTGTTGCATTTGGTTGAATGTTTATTCTGAAGTCTGTAATTAAGCCTGGACCTTTTTAGTGTTCATAAAACATCCGCAAAGAGATTGTAATTTTTACAGTTTTGTTAATCCTAACCTGCTTGTCCAAGAAAGCAACTCTACCAGGCATTTCCTGGGTTCATTGTTTCTTGCTGGTCTTGGGGAATGCCCTTTATCCTAACTCCCATGGGTCACCAGCAGGGTTAGGTACAGAGCACCCACGGTCTTTGCCTCCTGGACGGAGACTGCCCAGCACTTGAACAGTATAGATGATTTTGAAAATCTCTAACCTCAGTCTCTTCTCCCTCTGCTTTATTTCCCTTGCAGACCAAATTTGTTTTTTTTCAGAGCTGAGTGCCAAAAACTAACTAGAAATTCAGCCTTTTTTTTGGCCTACCGATGCTTATCAGTCTGAGTGCAGATTCCTTGATGCACCAGGAATACACTGTTTCAATGTTACTTGCTTCAGCTGGGAAGTTGTTGCTGTTTAGTGTCTGAAAGTTTTATTTGCTCTCCCTCACCCCTTACAGGGTCTTACTCCCTTACAGGGTCTGAACGTTTTATTTGGTCTCCTTTACCGTAAGGAGCATTTTCCTTACTCTCTTTTCTAAGATGGGAACTTCTGATTCTGATACTAATGGGGAAGAGTGGTAAGCAGTTGGTTGGGACAGCGGGGTTACCTCCGTGCTCTGACACCCCAAGGCAATCAGTCAAGGCATTGTGCCACTTTTCCCCATTTCTAAGCCAGGATGCTGTGAATGTACCTGTCCCACGTGGTGTGTGATGTTCAGAGATGATTAGTGAGAGGATGGTTGAAAATCTCACCGGGTTTGCACTGCTCAGGGAGAGCAGAGGTTTTGAATGGCTTTTAAGGCAGTTAACTACCTCATTAAAAAGCTGAATCTATCCCTTGTGGGCTGATCTGTTAACCACAAGCAAAAACATTTTAGGCATGCTGCAAATGGGCTAGCAGTTTAAGTGGGGTTTTTTTACATTCAGTTTAGGTACGCTAACTTTGTGATATAAATTCAGATTCAATCTCCTGAGCGTGTGTCATACACTTGAGTCATAATTATTTTCACTGTCAAAGTACAAGCACTTTCTGACCAATTTGGCTTATCTACAGCATGATATTACTCCATAACACAAAGTGTCTTGAACTCCAGCATGGTGCCCCTCTCTATTCTTTCTGACATGCGACTTTTTTCCTTGATAACACACATTGCCTGTGAGTTAATAACAGTGACTGTCAGAGCAGCCAGAAGACCAGGGCTCTCATTCACTCGCTGTATGTTGCATTGTGCTGCCTGGTCACCTGTGGTGCCAGCATTTGCTTTTGCAGGGTGTGTGGTGGCCATTCCCATGGAACATCCCCTCACCAGTCATGATGGGGAGGTCACAGAAATGTGGGCATCAGAGAGACAGGATCAGATGATGTGGCAAGCTCACATGAAAACCACTGCAGAAGAAAGGGAACATGAGCAAAGACAGACTCTGCCTCGTATGTAGGTTGTGTTGGAGGTGTTTCTTCAAAGTCAATGTTGTCACTACTCACTGACGCAGGCAAAAGAAGTGTTACTGACGTTTTTTGTCACTGCTGGTAGGAGCTCCGTGAATGAAGTCAATGGCATTCTCAGTGCCAGACCTCACTGACAGGGATTAAAGAAACTTTAGGTGCTACCAGGTGACAAAGTTGCATCAACTGTCGAGTTAGTTTAAATTATCAAATCTAAAAAACAGAATCGAGACAAGTGTTGTCATGAGAACATGGGTTCCTGGGAAGGTGCGCTACAGTCTTTTGCTGGATACCTGCTTTTTCATGGAAAAATACCAGCGATATCTACGGCAGTCTGCCAAAAGCTGAGTGGGTTCTCAGCTGTGGAGATGGGATCTAGCTGGAAGGTTATGATTCCACACCTTCTCGCCAACATAGAATGTTTAATCTAATTTTAAAAAGAAACAATGTATGATTTATGTCTTTGAGATATGGCTCTCTAAAGAGAGGTCAGCTCCATGCAAAATGGAATTAAAAAATCCTCTATCTTTCTTTTGGGGAAGCTTTGCTAAGGTAGCACCATTTTTATTGGACTTTGCCCTGAGTTTGCAGAGTACCAGCTCAGCCTCTCACACTTGTTTTTTGGCACATCCCCAGGAGCTGAGGTACTTTTCACTGTGTCCCTGGTAAGCTCTGGTGATGCTTCCTGACCTAATGAGAAAGAGGCGCAACAGATGCGTGCATGCACACCTCCTTGTCATTTCTTTGTGAAGTTTTAGAGTAGAGTGATACTTTTGCTATTGAAACCATCTCTACTGGAATGACCCTGCGCTTTTTGTGGCCTAAAATGCTTTCCCAGCATCAAGGAAACTGCTTGAGTGCGGCTGATTTTTGGCTTGGAACAGGGTAGCCCTGAGGTGTTTAACTGAGGCTCCTCGCAGACATTAGTGGGAGCTTGCAGCAGGGTGGAAAGGTTAGGTTTAGATCTAACCTTTCTTCTGTAGGGTAACACAGTGCTGAACTGTTGCTCCTTGCCCCAGGAAGGGAGTGAGCTAGCTAGCCTGGAAGTTCATTTTAGGAATTGTGGACGCACAGTCTGATGTATTCTGACAGGTTTGAGCAAAGAATGACATCAGTGCTCATTTTGTTTTGAACTGTATGATGAGGAACTTGTTCCAGGAGAAATAATATTTCTCTGACCTCAGACAAATTAAGCTTTTCTTTTAAAAAGTAAATTCAGAAGGTGTATGACTGTAAGAGTCTAGAATATTTCCCTAGATTTCAGAGATTCTAAATGTTAGAAAGAAAAATGGGAACACAAGCTGGAGGTTGTTACTTCTAGTGGCTTCCAAGCTCCCTTGAAAGTCACTCTGCAAGGGGTTAGCAGGGGGCACGTGTCCCATTGCCCTGCATTAGGCTTTGACTGCCTTGGGTTGTTTTTCAGTAAGCAGAAAAGGCATCCTAAACCCAAAGAAATACCACGGGGCTTCATAGTCCCTGCAGTGAAGCTGAAGTGCGTGACGATAGATGAACCTGACACAAACCCACTGGAGTCTGGGTCTGCGGGCGGTGGCACAGGGCAGAGCTGAGCCAGCGGGCAGGACTGAATCAGCACTTCCACCCCTTGTTATCTTTTGCATCCGGGTTGATAAAGAACCAGGAACTCAAAAGAGATTTGGAAGCATTTGAAGTTCATAGGGACCGACAAGCTACACATCAGGGCATCGTGGTGCCATGCACGGGCTCAAGCAGCTCTGGTAGAAATGTCCGTGCTTTGCTGCGTGGACTTACTGGCTGCTAGCTATAGGATCTCTATGGAAAATTCCCTTTTGCAGAGGATAGACATCTCTGTGGCTGTGTCGTGGTATTTTTAGGATCGAGACCTCCACATCTCGTAGTAGTCGTTGTCAGATGATGGAGGCATAGGGTCACAGCCTGTGCCTTTTGCACAACGGGGTCCATTTTTGCCCCAGGAAACTAGACAAAGACCAGAAGATTGTAGTTTTAGCTAATCATTTGTACAACAGTCAGAGCTCTTGAACTTTCTAAATGTCATCAAGCTCACTGCAGACTTTCACGTTATGAAAATAGCTTAACCTTTATCGTAGAATCTCCAGGAGAATAGAAATACATAGAAAGTTAGTCTTCAGGGATTTTATTTTCTGTTCTATTTAACATTAATTGACATTTGATGCATGACAAATAGGACTGTAAAAACACAATGTTTTTTGTTAAAACATCTATTCTTGCATGGCGTTTTGTTTACAGTCAAAAGAAATAATTACTCTTTTTTTTCCCTCCTCCTTTTTCTAAGGATCAATCTGCTTTGCGAACATGGCAATTGCTATGCTTGAACCAGCATTACCCATCTGGATGATGGAGACCATGTGTTCAAAAAAATGGCAACTTGGTAAAGTACAGTCTATTATTTGCATCTCTATATTTTGTCTAATCTCTGTTTCAGTTCTGGTCCTGTTAATGAAAATCTTCTTACATGCTTCAGGGTAATAATTTTTTTTTTTTTTTTTAACTGCAAAATTTCCTGTGAGCCACAGATCCAGCCTAGTGGGGCAAACCAATTTGTAATGGGGCTTTTCCCAGAGGGAATTCTTCTTCAGTTCTTAGTTTGAATTGCCAGGAGCAGGCAGCCACAGAAATGCGCAGCAGACGTAGCATGTTGGGTGCAGAGCACGCTCATGGCAACACATGTTCCTTCCAGGGCTGCTCCTGGCAACGTGTGGAAGAAGGACGGACTTTACTCAAAATGTGGCCACCAAGGGCACGAGGAGCACTTTGCCTTAAATTTAACAGATTTGGCACCTTTTCAGTGGTTACTTAGTCATCCCATTCAACAGAAAGCCACGGGAGAGCCCCAGCTTGGACCACTTTATAACCTGTGACAGTGACACAGTCTCGAGAAACCAGTGTCTACAAGCAAACTGGGGATTTGTCCTGTGTATCAAGTTAGACTAGACGTAAAACTGGGGCAGTTTCTTTCTCTCTGAGGTGAGCAGGAGGGAAAAGAAAATGGATTAACTTCCAGGGAGTGTCAAACTGTGTGCAGAAGGTTGACGTGAATCGTCTTGGGTGGGGAGTGCCTGGCCTTCGTGTGCCACGACACACAGTGCTGATCCTCTCTGTTGGTCTGACTGGTGTTTACCTTTTTAATAGGTTGTAGGAAAGAGTTACCCTTACAAACACAACTTATGTCTCTTTGATAAAGTTAATGAAGTGTTCTATGCTGCTTTATATTAGGGTATTTTTATATGTTAGTATATGGCACTGAAAAGAAAAATCCTTCATGAAAAGGATGTTCAGCTAGCATTAACTAATATCCCTATTCCATTTAATGGAGGTGTCCCTACACCATATAGAAAGCATGAACCTTAGTTCTAATTAATGCAACCCAGATTTAGAGTGGCCATAGGTAGGAGTCCTTAATGTGCTGCTCTACTCTTGGATATGGTAATGGCTGCGAGCCTGTAATACAGCTAATTTAACACACAAACTTACATATTTTAAACTCACAACAAAAAAAGAAGATTGCTTATCTACCTCCCTCGCTAGACTTTCATATTACTGGTGCAATGGAAATGAGATTTACAAAACTCTTAGTTGAAGAGAGGTTGCTAGAAGGAAAATATCCATTTAAAATTGAGACTAATTTTACTCCTTAATGATATAAGTAATTGACTCCATTACACTTTGTCTGATTTGACAGCACTAATTAAAGTTTTTAAGCCTCCTAAATTGTATCTTGAACTGCAGGGTTTTAAGCAAACTATTATGTTATGCAATTTGGAGATCCAGCTGTTTGAAGTATGATCTGAAGAAGGTATAAAGAACCTCGATGTGGCCAGTGTTACCACGCATAAAGCTTATTTAGAAAATTATGATTCTGATTCAGTACCCTGCAGCTTACACACCAACCTGCATGTCTTATTTAACAAGGCTTTGCAGTATTTATTTTTTATTTGCAGTGGTCAAAGTCTGCTATATGTGACTATTTGGTATAAAAATATAGCTCCAAGCAGTACAAAAGTAGTTGTGGTTAGACAGGTGAAAATGCTTCCCCAGTATCACTGTTGTAACCCACATGAATTTTAATCACAGGATATTGCTGGGCTAAAAATTACCTCTTGATTTTTTTTTTTTTCATGAATATCAGAGAGATAGGAAGGAAGATGGATAGGCAGGAAATGAGAAAACGTATGTTGGCTCACTGAAAGATGAGGAGCATATACACTTAAAGGAAATGGTTTGACTGTGGGCCATAGTGTCACACCTGCCGTCAAAACCTGAATTACCTGATTTAACAGTGACCAAATGGAAGGCTTGTCGTGACATGTGCTAATTTATCAGACTTTCCCAGTTTGGACAGGTTTCCCAGTTTTGTTTTTCTCAAGAAGATGCAAAACTTAACAGGAACAACAGAAAAAGACGGTGTCCTGTTTCTTCCCAGACACACAAACCATTCAACACCATTCCACAAGGATCCAGCCTTAGGCACAGCCACCCTGTTCCTCTGCCTCTTGGATATTTTTTGTACAGTGTCTTCTCCCTGGGACAGTCCCTGCATCCTCCTCCTGGCACTCTGCAGGCAGCCAAGGCAAGGCCACACCATGCTCTCCCTCAGCATTTCTTCCTTGGACATCTCCCCTCTGGCTGAGTCCTGCCCTGTGATTTACGTTTGGGGAGAGAATGAATCCTCAAGCACAGACGGTAACTGGCTTTTAAACCAGAGATGTTTCTGGCCAGCACGCAGCCAGCATCTGCTCCAGCTACAGCCACTGCTGTGGAAACCTCAGGACTGGGAAAACCCCACAGACTAGAAAAGAGACCATATTGCTTGTCCCAACAGCAGGGTTTTCCAAGTGGATGTGGGGCAGATGGGAAGGTCTGGGCACCCTCCCATCAGGGTCAGAAGGAATTTACTTGGGTACACCCTCATCTGCAAGTCATTACAGATAATTAGTTCTTTTAATTTAAACCAATAACTTTTTTTAATTAACTTTTACTGTAAGCATATTGGCTAAATAATTTCAAACCCGTGATTTTAACGTTTCTTCACTTTTACATTATTCATATACATGTAGCTTCTTGACCTAAGACTACGTTGCAGCGTTAAAGTCCACCTCAACACATTCACAGTCTTGGGGGGGGACAGTGCCTTGAGAAGCCAGAGCAGCAGCCCCGATCTCCCCTCCTCCAGGGAGGGGTTCACCCACCCCCCGTCCCTCCCGCTCTTGCCACATGTGCTGAGCATATGCTCTATAAGCCACACAACCGCCAAAGAGTCGCTTTCCTTGACCCAGCCCAAAGCTTATTGTAGCTAGACATGAACTTTTCGCTTTGTTCCATCCCCTCTCCCATAACAGTTCTTGCAGCTGATGCTGAAAAACTCTTTTAAAAAGGCATCGCATCACTCCCGCATTTCATAGATGATGTCCTTAGATTTCATGAGAAGGCTACAACAAACCGGATATTTGATTCTTCGGGCTGTGCACAAAGACTCTGTTAGATGAGCTCAGATCAGAATTGCAGTGTCTGGAGTTTATTAGTTTCTTCTAACGCTTCACTAAAATCCTTGCTGATAAAACATCTCATTCATATTTTTCAGGTGTTGCTTTTCTTCCAGCCAGTATCTCTTATCTCATCGGGACTAATCTTTTTGGGATCCTTGCACACAAAATGGGAAGGTACGCTTAATTTAAAAATACTAATAATCTTCCAGTCCGTTCATGTACCATTTCCAGTGTTTCCCAGGGAGGTTTTAGTGATAGTGGAAATTATTAATATTTGGTTTATAGTAGCAAAGTCCTTCTTTTGAACATATTGTTACTTTGGTTGTGTAACTTGGCGCTTCAGACGTGACTTCGAAACATTCAGGATCAGCTTTAATGTCTCAGTATCGCTGAGCTCTGAGCCATGTTTCTTCTTCGATAGGTGGCTTTGTGCTTTACTTGGGATGCTGATCGTGGGAATAAGTATTCTATGCGTAAGTAGAAAATCATGTGTCTTTCAAACCATCTAAATGTTCCTGTGTTCATCTTCAAATATGTGCTCTCCCCGTGAGATTTTGCTGAAGTTTCTGCTTTACGATGCATTATTAAACAATGTGTAGTTAATAGGTTCCAGATCAGAATTTTGTGTGCTTTCAAATTTTAATGCTTCGATTATTTTGAAGGAAGATTGGCTCTGAAAAGAGGAGAGTGATCCTTTTTTTGAGCTGTCACTCAGCAGTTTATTCCTGCTTGTAACACTAGGTGTGTCAGTGGTTTAATGGCACAGTTGTCTGGAACAGTAACCCAGAACAAGGATCAAACTCTAACCTGTGCATCTATACCAAGTGTGCCAAAAAACTACTCTAAGAATTTATCTTAGATAAAAGAAAACTGACCTCATTAGCATGTGCAGTGTGACTTAACTCCCTGAAATTTCTTTTATAGGTACCATTTGCTAAAAACATTTATGGGCTCATAGCACCAAATTTTGGAGTTGGATTTGCCATTGGTAAGAACAACTATAATGACTTCTTATGGTCTGTTTGTTATGTAAAAATAATTTTACATGGAGTTACACGTAAAATTAGTTTTGTGGCCATTCTGGTCTGACAGAAGCAAAGTTTGAGCTGTGCCACAAACTGGTAGGTAAAGCAAGAAGAATTAAAGGACAGTGCTCAAGACAGTTTGAACTAGGCTGCTGTTAGACGAGCTGGATTAAGTTTGTCCAGAATTGCTCCATCAACCTAAACAGATCTTTCAAACTGTCAAGAATTTATACCTTGTTTTCAGAAATAAAGCAATGCACTGTCCGAAACTCACAGTATTTCCTGTTGTGGAAAACAATTTATATAGATATTTTTATGGAAAAAAACCCCAAAAAACAAACCACCACAAAAAACTGAAACCCCCAAACCAGGCTTAAATATTTGTTCATCAGTAGGAATTCCCAAGCCCACGCACATGTACTCTTTTCAAGAAATATGTGTGAACTTTACTTATGCTGGACCACGCAGTCAGGCTGGAGTGGCGACCATGGCTTGACTTTTAGCGCTTGGCTGGTCAGCAGATGTTCTAGGGCATCCTCACACACGAGGGATATGCAGTTAGGAAAGAAGTTACAGGCACAACTACAAATCCCCAGTATGTCAGCAGTTTTGTCAGCTCTCTTGTGCTGTTACTTGCTAGCGATCAAAGTGTGGTTCAAAAGACATGTTAAAACCACCGTAATGATTTTCATGGACTGGAACCTAATGCAGTCTTACAGGTCTACAGTAAATGTAAGTTCGTACAAAAGAACTTTCCCCTAAATGAAAGCTGCTTTGCTAGTAATGTGAGGTAAGAGCCTGTGCACGCAGAGCTGCTCAGAAGCATTTGATACTCTTGAAGCTCGCATCTCTCCTTTTCCTCTGACAAGTGTCACACGTACACATCCATGCATGTCCAGGAGTGACCTCAGACGCTGTAACGATCATAAAAAGCACAGATAACACAGGTATTGAAGAATAAGATAACAGAGGTTTTAAATAATTTAACCTTATAAAAGAATAAGCATCTTTTTAGTTGCTTTTTGCATCCTGTTTTAGCACATAGTTGGACAAAACATTAAAAGGAAAAAAAAAAACAAACCAGCAATATTTTCCTGAAATGTTTCCTTCCCTTATGACCAGGAATGGTGGATTCCTCCATGATGCCAATTATGGGCTACCTTGTAGATCTGCGTCATGTCTCGGTCTATGGCAGCGTGTACGCAATAGCTGATGTTGCCTTTTGCATGGGCTTCGCCATAGGTAAGTCCAGCCTTTGCCTGCCTATAATGCACAGCTAAGAAAAGAGAATATGGTACGATGCCAGGCGTGAATCCCAGTGGCATTTGGAGGCTTTATGAGTTGGGGTTCTTATTTTCTACAAGAAAACAAAGCAGAGGGAGTATTTGGCATCTGTTCCCCTCCTCTGCTGTGATGCCATGTTCAGCTTTGTCAGCTGTAAGAGGCTTGAAGCGTCAGGCACTAAACACAAATAGGATATCCCTTGAAAGGAGACCTCGGACCATTTAAACCTAACATCACAGATGTGTCCCTAATAATCTGCATTTCGGAATCTCTAATTTCTTCGGTGAATGTGGAGTATGGGTCTAGGAAAGGTTCATGTTATAATTACAACCCTGTCTTTACGTTCCTCAAATCAATTTGCAAAGGAGGATTTTTTGGAATATAAAATTACTGTTGTTCAAAGCAACTGCTGCAAATTTTGTGTCTCAACCGTCTTCAGAAAAGGGTTTTTATTTATACAAGGTCCTTCCGCTGGCGGTGCCATTGCAAAGGCCATTGGATTTCCATGGCTCATGACAATTATCGGGATTGTGGATATCCTCTTTGCTCCTCTCTGCTTTTTCCTTCGAAGTCCACCTGCCAAAGAGGAGAAAATGGTAAGCACAGCATGGTTTCTTTCTTTTGTCTTTGGTTTTGGGTTTCATTCAGTGAAAAAAAGTTAATTTGTTTCTGCATTTTCCCTGTAAATTACCTAAAATGGGACCAGCAGTCTACTTCACCCTCATGCATCATCTTTGGAATTAACTCCTCCTTCTTTTTATGTCCAAGATGTATTAAGAAAAGCTTTTTATTAATCACATGTTAAAAAGCCACAAGTTTGATTATTGCAAAAGAGGGTGCAGCAGACATTCCTCTGCAACAAAGTACATTGTAGTGTAGTCAGTATAAAAACCATTTTTTATTTCCCTGAGCTATTTGACTAATTTTGTTTTATTCCTTTGAATGCCTCATCCTGTTCTTTTTCCATGGTCCTCTACAGTATGTCTTACATCATATTGTATCCTCCTACTTCTTCCTCCATACAGATCACCTGCCCTTACAAATCAGTGGCTTCTCTTACGCTATCTGTACCATGGGTCTTATATTCACTCTTCTTCTACTACAACTATAACAATTGTTTAATTTTTTAGAGCAGTATGTGCTCCCCAGCCGCTGGATGGTGTTTCAGAAGAATAGTGCTTGGCCAAATCAGCATCTTGCCGAGTGCCCTGCGGCTTGCAGTGGGTATCTAGGCAGGAGTCTTAGAGCAGGCGAACGCGTTGTGAATAAATCCCTAAAATCAGGGACTAAGAGATCGAAGTCAAAACTGACACTGTGATTAACAGCCTTCACCAGACTTTTTACCCATTGATGTTCACATTTGCTCTCTGAGGGAAAGTCTACTTTTTACAAGACCTGGAGTGAGGAGTTCCGCTGCTTATTCCAGGAGTTGTGCCCCAGAATACCCACAAATGTGCCTGCATGAATAGTTTCCTCCAATTGCTCGCTGTTTGCTTAGCCTGACACCCAAAACTATTCCTGCTTTAGTTTTGACAGTTCTTTTCCTTCATTTCACCTCCTATACCATCCTCCTGTCTCCTTTCTTTTCCCGTTTCTGTATCTTAGTTTGACCTTTCATCTGCTCCCCATCTCTGTTGTTGCAAGACTGGCTGTTCCTATAGTTGTTTAATAGATCAGGCTCAAAAGTCCCCTTGCTGCCAGAGGGGATCCATTGCTTGGTTCACTAGATTTCCTCTGCTTGGCAAGAAGACGGGAAGCGCTCCCAAAGGAACAGGTTAATGACTGGACTCGATGATCTTCAAGGTCTCTCCCAATCTGGGTGACTCTGGGAATTAGGAATCAGTGCGGTCAGTAGGCAGAATAATCCCTGTTGTGATTCTAGGGCTGGGAAAATCCTGGGAAAGGATTACCAGTCTTTGCTGCATCGTCACCATCTGTAGGTCTAACCCACCCAGCGCTCCAGCCTTGCTCATGCTGAATGAGGTTAACCTGGGCCCAAAGTGTAGTTGCTAGTTTATCCGGGAGAAAAGAAAATTTGGCACAGCCATGATCTTATTATGTAGCATCACACCTCTGCAAGATAAGGACAGAACCTGCTGGGTGTGCTGCTCACACTTTGTACTGGCATGAGCACTACAAGACAGTGGAAAAATGAATCATGTTGAAATAGTGGTGTATATATTTGCACGTTTGGCCTGCAGAATCCCACAGATTCCAGTTAATCCTTTGTCATGACCTTTGCAGACTGCATTGATTTTTTTTAAAATTATTTGTTAGGGTTTTTTTCATCGACTAAAGCTGAGGAACAGAAAGAGAAAAGAAAAAAAGCTGCTGTTGTTTCTAGAACTACGACGTTCATCATGTATGTCCCTGGTCACTGGCAGGGTTTCATTTATAACGTGGGAATTACTGAAGGGACAGGATTTCTCCCCATGGCTTAAATACAGCATTTGTCCCCTCCAACATAATTTAAACGTAAAGTGACTCGTATTCCCAAAGCAGCTCATGGCAGTGAACTGACGTGCCATTTCTTCTGGGTTTGACAAGAGTCAGGAGGGTCCTTGCTTTGTGCTCTGAGTAATTAAAAGCCAAATTTAAACACATACAGTCTGAAATATCCTACACAACCACTCCGAGTACAGACTCTGTCCTAGGAAAAATTCATCCTACGGAATGTAATACTGTAGCTGGCCCGTAACCACACTAATCACTTCTAGCTTGCCATGGGTGTCACGCTGCGATATTTGGGCCAGTGCCCTCAGCTGAGCCTGGCTGCGATGCCTTGGAGCTCTGCAGAAAAGAGTTGGAAAAACACAGCTAGTAAGAGACTCAGCTTGAGGCAGGAGGAACCCCTTGCTCCTTCATCCAGCTTTTAATAGAAGATTAAATATGGGAGAGGTAAATTACCATAACTGGAGAGCAGGTGGATGTATTTCAGTTACATACATGGGCTGAACTGCTGGTTCCAGTAAGGTAACAGAAAGTTGCTGGTGATGTCTTTAGGGCCAAGATCCCACCTCACACCAGCTATGGCCTTGGACTTACTCAAACTGAAGTAGCTTTGGGTTCTGCTTTCAGGAAGAAGAGATAAATTGCTGAGTGGTGGATCCGGCTGTGGTGGAGTTGACCCCAGACCTCAGCTGGATGCTAAACAGAAATGCTAATATTCACTGTTTTCTTTCAGGCAATACTCATGGATCACAACTGCCCTGTGAGAACGAAAATGTATACCCAGAACAACATCCAGTCCTACCCCATAGGTGATGAAGAGGAAGAATATGAAAGTGACGAATAGCATGAAAAGCCATATAACATATTTTGGTGTACAAAATGCAGTATTTCATGTGAGACATCTCATCCAGACATAAGGTTTAGTTGTACTGTACATTTAATAGTGAAATGGTCAAAAAAACCCAAAGGTATATTATTCATTGCCCATGGTTACACAGCAGCCTGCTAACCGCCTTACAAGAGGGGGGCAAAGCTTTTACAGAGGATTTGTATAGTGTTAATCTTTATTTTGTGTATTTAATTTTATTGAATATTACAATATATTTTTTATTAAATGGGTAGTATAAATATGTATAAACGTGCATTTTAACTGTTTGTTTTTTGAAGTCAGCTCACTGACATACAGTACTTCTTCACATTTTGTTTGGAATCATGAGTTACTGTCAAGAGCTTGGGTCTTTCTTACCTAATTGGAAGGAAAAAGAAAAGCGAAGCTCATAGAAAACCTATCCAATCTACATCCTTTAAGAGGTGCTGGAGGCTGAAATTTGGAATATTGCTTTTTTCATCAGCTTTAGGTCATACATTAGTAAAACTAAACTTCTTTGCTAATTTGAAAAATGAGCTGTCCCTGAACCATGCATGGAATGTTGGGGAAAAACAGTATTTTAAACAGATGAGTGCATTGCTATTACTCAGTACTGTCCAGTGAAGTTGCAATTAGTAAACCAGTTGTGCAATGTGAAGCCCCCAAAACACTGGGTAAAAAAGTAGGTATGAATGTGCACTTTTCCTTTCCCTCAAAGAGAGTAAGAACAGCATGAAGATACTTTTTACATTTCTAGGGTTTGACTCTTATTTTTAACATACCAACTTTATGTTAGGTGCGTCTTAAGCATCTGGTTAAGAAAAGTATCACAGGGTTTCGTCTTAACGTATACTGAAAGCAAGCTGAGACCTGAAGCAGTTCAAACAAAAAACTATTTTACATGTATTTGCTTACATATCTAAAAATACAATAGATGTTTACTTCAAAAAAAAAAGGTGAAAAATTGATATTTTGCTAAAAAAAAAAAAGGACCAGGTTGTTGCCAGTATTTATTAACACGTGGGGACACAGTCTAGTACAGGTAAAGCGCTGTATTAGGCAGTCCATATCTACGCTGGGGAAAAATCAGACCTTGAAAGAAAGTGTTTTAAAGGAATGCCAACATCCATAGCAACCAGGGTGTATCTTTTCATTTGTAAAATTAAAATCTTGATGTGCCTTCTTTCATGTAATTGCAGATGTTTTATGTACTACAGCATAGTTACTATGTTTACATATAGTTTTGTAAAGCGTATATATTATGGTCCGAAAATATAGTGGATCCAACTTCAAGTCTTGCTTTGTCAATAATTATGCATTCAGATCACATTAAAATAAAGTTATCTGAAAAAGAAGTTCACTATCTATTATAATAAAGTAAAAATAATTTAAAAAAAAATCCCCCTCAAGCTTTGCCTTAAGCTGGACTTGATGATCTCAGAGGACTTTTCCAGCCTCAACAACTCTGTGATTGTGTGAAGCATTGTGTTTGACTCTATATTGGGGGGAAAAAATAAGGGCTAAGAAAGATTTCAGGTCATGGGAAAGCCCTCCTCATTTCTAGTATCTTTGTAACTCAGGAGAAACATTTTCATTTGAGGTCAAAAATACATGCAACTTACTTAAGCAGCCACAATTTGCTTCCCGAATTGGTCTGTCATGTGTCTGGTCATCTGGGGTTTAACTTCTGGGAAATGGATAGGGACAAAATGTGTAGTACCAGGGTACATCCCTGTATGTTCTTTAAACAAGAGTGAAGGTTCTGAGTAAATATTATAAAAGGCTCAAAAGGTGTGACAGGCCAAGCAATACACCCTATGGCTGATTTGAAAAAGTCCAGTTACAGATTTTCATAGCAGTATGTTTCCAACTGCATTCTTTTGGATACGTAACAGACAGAAATCCTTCCTTCAAAGCTGAGAGGTGTTTGGAGACTGACACTTGTACAGCATAAACCAAGATTTGGTCGTATGTCGAGTACTTCGCTGCCACTGAGTAAGTAACAATCGTGCAGATCGATGATTATTTACATTAGATTCGGATTTTTTGTTACAGATCGTTTGGATACTTGAAACGTTGCCCCAAGAGAAGTTATTTTACTTAGCTTCACTGAACTCTCTTGTCAACATCAAATTGCTAATCCAGTTAAATCTGAAACTAATATACCAATGTTAGAATTCTAAATTAGCACATTACACATTCATTTGCCAGCTGATTAACCCATGGATTGCTTAAATTCTCAAGTCTTAAAGTAATGCAAACATATCAACGTATTTATACACTTTTTAAAAGAGGGACAGAATGGCTTGCTTTATGGCTTCGTGTTTTTGAACACATCAAAATTAAAGGAAGAGTTCGCATTAATCTGCAACACAAAACAAGCATGAGAAGGGGCCCAAGGACAGATTAAGTGATCACATTCCTCTTTTGCAGATGGAGCCTGGTTTCTCCTGGGGACTCACGGACCAGCATCTTCCCACGGTTTGGTCAGCAGACCCACAGCCTGGCTCCCCCAAGCTCTTGCTCCACTCCTGGTCCACCAGAAATTAGAACTAAGAGCCACCCCTCCCTCCACCCCCAAAACCGAGATATTTAGCAGTTACTCCTCCAAAAATCAAAAAAATGCTGAAGAAGTAATCAAACACTTTTTGCTGACAGTCATGAAAAGTAACTTTAGTCACAGAAAATACACAAAAAAATCCTATCCTGCCCTGGAATATTTTGGGTTCTTTCACATTTTGTATATTTTTATGTCTGTTAAATTGTGATTCAGTCACTCAGTTCATTTGCTGCCACTATTTGGTCCTCCCCTGTAATGGTAATGTTTTCTTGCAAATTTGAGAGAAAACCCCCAAGAATAGGGAATTACAGGGAAAAATTGATTAGATAGAAAGGAACTAGTAAATGGCAATAATTTGTTTAGTTATCATCCATTAAGATTTCTGAAGGACAATGCAAATCAGAAGTTTTTTCTTGGACAATTTTTTTCCTCCTAATGTTACTCTGGTGCTAGTCACTAACCAATAATGCCATCCAGTTACTATTTGTGCAGTGCTTGGAGATCTTAAAAAGAAATCCCATAAACATCCTTAGGCATTTTACAAGATCCTCTAGCTACACACAGAATTAACTGAAACCACCATTTTGAAAGAAATCTATGTCTAATATTAAACTGTGTAGGATAAAAGTATATTCAAACAGAAAGAATGCATAAAAGCCCAATTAATCCACCAATCAGTAGTTTTATTTAATGCAAAATGTGTGGTTCTCACCCAAATATCTTTCCTTGAAGTAGTGCCTTTAGATGACAAGCTACTGCAATACCAATGTTTAAAAAATAGTAACACAATGCAAAGAAGTTGATAATTTAGCAAAACTATTTTATTAAAGCTTATTCTCATGATAAAATAATAGCAAACAAAATCATATTAGGCAGATCTGCAAATGTGTGCAGCTGCCACCTATTCAGATATCATTAAGTCAAGATATTCTTGTTTTCTGTGGTATTCTTTATTTTCAGCTATTTACAGTCAAGCATGAAGCAAAGATTACATCAGGAATGTAGTATTACAATTTTTCTCCTCAAGATTCACCGTTTATTGTAATTAACGCCAGATAGGAATTTACGTTTTCCTTCTTATCACTAAAATACAGCTAATTTTGCCCTTTTCCCATTCGGTATACTTAAAAATATTGCACTACGTTTAAATTATCTCTTACAATCATCATTAGCATTACTATACGAGGAAAACTATATCCAGTCTTTCTCACCCGCTGTATTACAACACAGGCCAATTTTTAAACCCATGAGCGTGTTTTTTGAAATCAGTACTTGCATTGTTTTCACAGCTCCTTCCCGTGTACCAGGGTTTAAATGGAGGAACTTGGATATATTTGAAAACCTCTATAGTAGTCCGTAAGAGCAAACGCTGATGGAGATTGAAGGCAGATCACCACCAAGAGTAAGCCACTGCGAAAATGGAGTGGGGAAGTCTTAACACACATCTCAAGCAAGTAGAGGTTAAATAACTTTTAGTCAATAAGGGAAGCTAATTTTGTGCGATTATTTGCTGAAGCTTCATCTCAGAAGTGTGCCACATGCCTAGTTTAGCATGGGTAGTGTTTTCCATACATCAGCTAGATAAGTATCAACTGCCCAGAACTCACAACAAAGTGCAAATAGTTACATGAGTGGAAGTAACTGTTTTGGTTAGAAGTACGAGTATGCTTTTCCACCTGTGGAAACCACTGCTTCTTAATTTTGCCCCCCACAAAAATAAACGAGAAGCAAATTTAATGGGAAGGTACGTTACAGACCACCTCAAAATTTAAATGAGTTCTTTTACTATCTCAGATTCAACTCCATTTCCACAAAGGCTTTTTTTTTTAATACAACTGATACCAGCAACAAGGATACCAGTACCTAACACAGTACCTAAAACAAAGATGGTATTTTATACGGCGATTCTATACACAGAAGATGGAACAAAGATGTTTACAGGAAATAAATAAGAGCAACAGCCTTAGCCAGGTGATGCTAAGATCCACAGTTTACACATAGCACAAGACCAGGTAGTTCTTTTCAAAAGCTGCTGGCTGAAATTCTTCCTCATGTCTACAGGACTCACTTATTTTGACTTAAATAAAATATGTTATATACACTATAAGACATTTTTCTGACAAAGATGATCCTTCTGCTCAGATTGTCTCTTCTGTCTGAGAAGCTGAATGCAACTTACCACTATACGATTACTCAAAAGTGTCGAGAGAACACATTTAGCTATTTTGTAAAGTATTTTGTACCTTAACCTTTCTGAAATGATGAGGTCTGCAGCAAAATATTAATTTTTCAAAATTACTTAAACTGTTAATACATGCTTTTTCACAGAATGTAGTGAAACCTCTGACTCTCGCGAAGAACAGTTTTCCTTTATCAGGATATCAGATAATACAACAACACTTAAACATAGAATTTC